CTTCGACTCAGTCCTATCACCCTTGAGGCGAGGCGACTGCTATAGCGACTTCGAGGTATATCTGCCGCATCCGCAGACCGAGGAGTCTCTTTCTATTCTTGGTGTTTAGTATTAGCCTTCCATATTTTCGTTCTTGTTAGACATTTTGGAGTTAAAGCTATGTAGTATTTATTAGCTTGTGATTCATGGGTTTCCGGGTCTTGGATTTATGTGTTGGTTTTGAGGGTTAAATATTGTGTATGCCGAGCGGCACCTTTAAATGATGTTTATTCTCTTATTTCTGTTTTAAATTATTTTACTTCCGCAAATTTTGGTTTTTTTCCGCAATTTAGGTTTACCTAGTCGTAGAGACTAGGTGCCGTCACGATGGTTCACGGAGGGCGAACCGAGGTCGTGACATGTGGACCCTGAAAGGTGAACATTGGAGGCTCAATATACGGCCGTGGTAAAGCTGGTTGTGCTCTTGTGCAGAGTGCTGACTGGTGTTGTAGAGAACAATATTGGAGGTGCTCTGGAAACTGGCGCATGGGGGCGAACCACAGAAGGCATGCTAGGAACATTGATTGGCCTTGGAGGCTGCCCGCATGGGATGAGCGGGTTGGGCAAAGGGGCATTGGTAACCTCACTTGACCTGGGGATTAACTCAGAGAACCCAGGGATTGCACTTGCGGTTCCCTGCCATTGGACCAGGCGTCCTATATTTCCAATATTCGGAGACGCAACATCTGATTCTCTTCAGCAGCTGCTGATTCTAGCTGTATAATAGCCGATGCCGGACTATCCTCAGGACCAATTATTGGTAGATTGCTTGCGGAGGCCAATATGTGCCTTTGGATATTGTGAAGGAGGGGAGGCTAGACTACCAACAAAATCAACCACCAAAACCTGGCTAGTTTGCACACCCAACAACCTTGTTAGTTTTTGAGACATTTAACATATAGGAAATCGCACGTTGGGATGCAATGCACCTAAACAGTTAAACGTTTCTACCATGTGTTTGAACGGTTGCATGTTTCATCCCGGCCTTAACTAACCCTTTCAGTATGTACCTCTTTTCTTTTATTTCTGCCTCTCTTTCATCACTCTTGATTTTTTTTTTCATTTTGTTTTTGCCTCTCTTTTTCTTTCTTTTCTTTTTTCTTTTTGCACTCTCTTTTTCTTTTTTCTTTTTTTTTTGTTTTTGTCAAATCTTTTCTTTCATTTTTACTCAAAATTTTCTTTCCTTTTTTTCAGTCCATTTTTTCACTCAACTTAGTTTATGGCTATGATTGAATCCGATAGGGATTGCCTACGTATTACGACCCCGCATGAATCAGATTTTGCGTAGTTCGGAAAGATTGGGACTGGAGAAAATATACTAACTTTTTCTTTTAACTTTTTATAAAACTCAAACCATGAAAGCTTTCTGGCAAAAGAAAAATATTTTTTGAGTTTTGATTTGTTTTTTTTTATGTCTTTTGGAATTTTCAGGAAAAAAAATGCTTCAAAAGAGGAAAGAAAATATTTTTTGGATTTTGATTTTGATTTTTTTTTAATTTTTATTTTTGAAAAAAAGACTTCTAAAAATTCATTTGCTTTTGATTTGAACTTTGGGAATTTCTAAAGTAAAAATAATTTTTTTTTTTAATTTGCATTTGTTTTCTCTTTTTCTAAACAAGAAAGAAAATATTTTTGAATTTTGGGTGTTGCCTCTTAATTTTCGAAAGAAGGGCTTTTAAGAAAATATTTTGGATTTTTGAGTTTTTTTTTATTTACAAAAGTACTTCTAAAGAAAAGTGACAATATTTTTGGACTTCAATTTTTTTTTTTTGTCATTTACGAAAGAAAGACTTCTAAAGAAGAAAAAGAATTTCTTTTTTGTTTTTGATTCTTTTTTCTGATTTTTTTTTGAGTTTTTGGAAAAAATACTTCAAAATAAAGGAAACCCGTATTTTGGATTTTTATTTTGATTGATTTTTCTTTTATTTATTTTTTTCCGTATGAAAGACTTCAGAAAGAATGAAACTTTTTTTTTTTGAATTTAAAAATCTTTTTTTTTGAATTTTCTAAGAAAATGCTTCTAAAGAAGGAATTAAAGGAAAATATTCTTGGATTCTTTTTTTTTTAAAACTGGGGCCGGAACCGATGAGATTTGCCTACGTATCTCACATCCGGTGAGAATCAGACCCGCGTAGTTCGGTTAGTTTTGACGGAACGGGGGAAACATGGCACTTGAAAATTTTAGCTCATTTTGAAATGACCTTGTCTTTTTCTTTTTCCCCCTTTTTTTTCAGAATTTCGACAGAGTTTCGGAATTTTTCAAATACCTACCTCTTACTCTAGTTTTTTTATTTTTGATTTTTTTTCCTAATCTAGAAGCCGGTCAACATGCAAGCCGAAACAAACAGATGCGCAAGTAGCACGTAAGATGCATCAGGATGGTCTTTTTAATTTGGGTACACCTGTCCTAGACGGATCCAACTCTGTGTTGAGTTCCCAAAGTCAGATGCACGTGATGCAAACAAACGTACCTACTAGGGATCCGGCATGAGGCTATGTTATTCTAGGTTTAAAAATCTGGGTGTATTGTTCTAAACCTAGCTTACTCGAGCGGATAGCTCGAGCCGGGAGGGGACGAGCGTACCGGGAATACAGAAACTTTACCGTCTTTGCAACTTGTCCGAACCTCGTTCTAAAATTGGAATATGACTCTAATAGAAAAGAAGTCACGCAAAGTGCACACTTCCCAGATGATTTAGAAGACTCAGAGATAAGAAGGGTTTCGTAACAGTTCATATACAGTCCAAACAATATCAAAGCGGTAAAAAGCGGCATTTAGCACATTAGGCTCAAACATGTAAGAAACAGATACTAAATAAAGCCAAGTTATTCTAAGCTCGAATTCTTGAACCCTGAACCAAAAGTTCTGGGTTCTTATCCCCAACAGAGTCGCCAAAGCTGTCACACCTCATTTTTCAACCACCCCGAAGGGTAATATGAGGGAGTTTTTCCAATCTAAGTGACATTATTCGAAATGGGATTATTTTATTTAATTTATCAGAGTCGCCACTTGGAATAGTTTATTTGGTGTCCCAAGTCACCGGTTTGTTTTAAAATCCCAAATCAAGGAAATTTCGACTTTATTTTAAAAGCCTGTGAACTAGAAATTCTAAGTAAGGAATTCTGTTAACCCGGGAGAAGGTGTTTGGTATTCCCGGTTTCCGTGGTTCTAGCACGGTGTCGCTTAAATTATTAATAATGGCCTATTATCTGATTTACTACATGTTTTAAGCCTATTGTGCATTTTAACTTTATGATCGCTTTTATTTAATTTAAATCTCTTTTAGGATTTATGAAATTAATTCTTGAACAAGTTACGATTGTCGTACACTTGCCGTTTTGGGACACGCTACATGAAATGCACCCGCGATTCGCGACATGTTTTATTTTTGTTATTGTTCAAAGTTGTTATGATCGGGTCACATGAAATGCACACCCGAATTGGGAATTATGTATCGTGACCATGCCACGGGAACCGTACCCATAGTCACGATGTTTTATTATTGATCGTGTCTAAAGCAAGCTACGATATTCGAAATTTTTTCTACACTAGTTATAAATGTTCCAAGTATTTTCATACTAGCTTTGGTGTTAATGTGAGGGCCATAGATTATAGGATTCATTTGTGGATGGCACGCCTCGAATTATTTCGAAAAAAAAAATAAAAATTTTACTCAACTAAAGCAAACTACGGATGCTCATGATTTCCTAAAACTAATTTGGAATTATTGTAAGGCAAGATTTATGGATAAGGAATTATTGTGGAAGAAGTATATGATTTAGCTACTATGAATTTATTTAAAAGGACACTTAAAACTAAAGATAATGCTACTAACCCAAAGATTTATTCTTGTATCTTTACTAATGTGACCAAGTACAGAGGATGAAACATGGAAAACATTTACTGTAAGCAGTTGAATTTATTCAGCAACATTCAAGCTAAGCAGATTTCAAGCGGCAGTAAAGAAACAAAATTATTCTACTAGACAATCCTTTCCCCTCGTCTTTTTCTCGATTTATTTTACTCAGGAGAGTGAACCAACTTGAGCGATAATTAGCTCTTCAATACATGACTTTTCACACAAAACATTCAAGTAGTTCCCAACCAATTTCAAACTGGAAAACATGCCACTAAACCCAACATGATCAAACAACTAACAACATCATCCCTAATTGAAAGTGGGAGTCGAATTAATTTACATGGCTATCGTGTTTCAAATTAGCTCAGTGTTCTATCCAAATTGAAGAAAAATATACATTCATTACACATCAAAATAGCAGCAATCGGAATTTAAGCAGTCCACAAAATTAAACAGGAATTCAACAATTTTTAATCATTCAAAGAAGGTATAATACAAGAGAGTTTGGGATTGACCTAGTTGCACAGAGAGAAACACTAAAAATGAGCCAAATAAAGGCACAAACCAACTCAGGTGAAGCTTCGCAACAGTTTCAGCAAGTAACAACGACTCTAAAGCTCAATCAACCTTTGAACACGGAACTCAGCAGCTCAAGAATAGCATGATACGATATAGCTTGCGTCTGTGGTACATCGTGCTAATGGAGTAGTATGAGGTAGTTAAGTTAGTTAACTGTAAAGGTTAAAGTTAAGTTTTAGAAATGTTAGTTTGGGCCGGTTAAGTTTTAAATTAGAAGTTCTAGGAATTACACTTTGGTCCCGTGATTTTTCTTGTCCTTTATACAAAAGGTCCACATAGCTAAATGAGGAAGGGACTTGAGTGTCAGATGAGAGCATCTCTCCCCACTCATCTATATATTGTAATTACCCTTCCTTGTATTGGGAATCAATGAGAATATTCCTTACTTTTACCCTAGTTTTCCTCTCTCTTTACTTTTCTTCTTTTTCTTTCATTATTGCCGCAACTTTCTTTCTTCTTTTACTGTTACATTGATCTCTTTTGCTATCAGTGGTATCAGAGCTCTTTCTTGGCTCTGTGGCTATGGCGGGTGAGTTGAATGAAATCATGAGTACATTACATAAAATCTCAGCTGAGATGTCCAGTTTCTCAGCTCGACAAGAGCAACTGGAAGCTGCACAAGAACATAGCAGCAAACATCAGGAAGAGTCTTTGAATGAGCTAAGGGAGGTCATCAATGAGGCAATTCTTGGGGGCAAACGACCTGAGAGAGACAAGGGGACACAACCTGCAGAGGGTGAGTTATATTCCCCTAGTGATCAACCATCTGATTTTGGAGATCTAGCCACACCAAACACCAGCAATATGAGCACTGCACCTGTGAGTATCTTCACCTCTTCTGTCCCAACTCCTAATCTAAGTCCTAGACCAGCTGCTAGTAACCCTATAACAAGTGAGGTGAGTTCTGCTCCCATTCAGCTGCCTAGAGCTCAACCTCAACCACCTACTCGTTCAGTCATGATAAGCAACCCCCCTTTTCCTCGTCCTCCACCTTATGTGTTCCCAAATATGCCCTCCCCTCATCCCAGATCTGCTCCTTTACAACCCCTAAATTTTCCAATCCCACCTTCCAATGGCAGAGGTTATCAGCCTCTAATGGGCTGGACTCAAGGTTCTCACACATGGCTGATACCCCCTCAGTCCACCTACACTCAGCCCATACCTTTTCCCCCTTCATACTACACTCACCCTGGTCATATTCCTTCCCCTCTATATCATCAGACACCCTATGCACCAAATCTACCTCAGTACCAATATAACACCATTACTTCCAACCAGTCACAAACTCAGAATAACCATACTACACCCCTACCTAACATACCCTACACAAAGTACACTAAGGTGGACTTTCCTAAGTTTGATGGAGAAGATTTAAGGACATGGTTGTACAAAGTGGAGCAAATTTTTGCAGATGAGGAGGCGACTATTCAGCAGAGAATGAAGTTGGTATCTCTGCACTTTGAGGGAGATGCCTTGCAATGTCATTTGGGGTATATGAGAAGTAGAGGTCAGATGCCCTTGCCTACTTGGGAGGAATATTTATGGGCTCTTTGTGATAGTTTTGGAGCTGAATACTCAGACCCTATGACTGAGCTGATGAATATCAAACACACTAGTTCTGTAAAAGATTATCAGAAGGCCTTTGTGAGTGTGATGACAAGGATCAATCTCTCTACAGAACATGCCATTAGCATCTTCCTGAACAATTTGAAGCCTGAACTCAGTAATGCAGTCAAGATAGGTAACCCCACCAGCTTACCACAAGCCTACTACCTAGCTAGATTACAAGAAGCTAGTTTTGCTGCTCAGTGCAAGGCAATCAAAGGCACCCTTTCTACTTCAAGTTTGCCCAAGCCATTCACTAACCAGGGCAGCCCCAGTATATTTAAAGGAAATCAACCCTCTTATAGGAAACCAGTAGCTCCTGTTTTTTATAACAACAGGAGAAGAAGACTAACTCCTACAGAGATGGATGAAAAAAGGGCCAATGGGATATGCTTCTTCTATGATGAGAAGTTTACACCTGGTCACAAGTGCAAGGCAAAGAGGCAATTGTACTCCTTAGAGCTTGAGGAGGAACAAACCCCCCTTTTAGAAGCACCAGAAACTGAGGAAGAAGAGTTTATAGAAGCAAAAGAAGAAGAGCAGGAGCATGCTGAAAATTGTGAAATATCCTTAGAAGCCATGAAGGGTTCTAAGGGATATAAGACTTTAAGGATACAGGGCTTCACTGAACAAAGGCCAATCAATGTTTTGATTGACAATGGCTCAACTCATAATTTTATAGATGAGCAAACAGCCAAAAGACTGGGCTGCAAGGTATACCAAATGAATCCACAGGATGTATTAGTTGCAGATAGAAGGGTGCTTCAATCAGTGAAGGGTAGCAAGGGGTTCACATGGTTAATGCAAGGGGTGGTATTCACAGATGACTTCTTGGTCCTCCCTATTGGCAGCTGTGATGTGGTGTCGGGCATACAATGGTTGTGCATGCTAGGGGATATTCAGATCAACTTTGCAAAATTATGGATGCAGTTCTCATACCAGGGGAAATCAATAACCTCGCAGGGAAATTCCCCCTCCTTCAAGACAGTGCAGGCTAAAACACTTAACAGTGTACCTGCCAACACAACTGAGTTGTTCATGATAAGGGTCTGCCATAAGGAAGACCCAGAGAAGGAGTCCTTTCCAAAGGAAGATGGGACATCTATGGAGATACAAGTGTTGTTGGAAGGAGATAGAGAAGTGTTTGAGGAACCCAAACAACTGCCTCCTTCAAGAGGAGTATTTGATCATCACATTCCCTTGGTTGAAGGCAGCATTCCCGTGAACTCTAGACCTTATAGGTATTCACCTATTCAGAAGGATGTAATTGAACAAATTACACAGGAAATGCTGAATCAAGGTATCATCCAATACAGTTCCAGTCCATATGCATCTCCTGTTGTGCTGGTGAGCAAAAAAGATGGCTCCCGGAGGCTATGTGTGGACTATAGGGCCTTAAACAAGCTGACCATTAAAGACAAATTTCCTATCCCTATCATTGAGGAACTGCTGGATGAATTAGGGGGTTCAACAATTTACTCCAAGATAGATCTAAGAGCTGGATATCATCAGATTAGAATGTCTATCCCAGACATTCATAAAACAGCTTTCAGAACTCATTCTGGGCATTATGAGTACTTAGTTATGCCTTTTGGTCTAACTGATGCCCCTTCAAGCTTTCAAGGAATGATGAACCATATATTCAAGACTTACATGAGAAAGTTTATTCTGGTTTTCTTTGATGATATATTGGTATTCAGTAAAAGCTTAGACGATCATGTCCAGCATCTCAGGATCACATTTGAACTATTAGTACAACATCAGCTCTTTGCCAAAAAGAGCAAATGTGTTTTTGCAACTGACAAGATTGAATACCTTGGGCACTATATCTCTGCTGCAGGAGTGGCTACAGACCCTAAGAAAATAGAAGCTGTCCAAGCTTGGCCTACTCCTGTCAGTCTCAAACAACTGAGGGGTTTTCTAGGCTTGGCAGGGTACTACAGGAGGTTCATCAAAGGCTATGGGGTGTTGAGTAAACCTCTTACTGACTTACTCAAGAAGGATAGCTTTCAATGGTCTTGTAAGGCTACTGAGGCCTTCAGTAAACTAAAAGAGGCCATAACTTCTGCACCTATATTGACCTTGCCAGATTTTTCTATCCCTTTTGGGGTGGAAACTGATGCCTGCAGCCTTGGAATTGGAGCAGTCCTAATGCAGAATGGACAACCAATTGCCTACCTAAGCAAGGGGTTGTCTCCTCAACACCAATCCTTGTCAGTCTATGATAAGGAACTCCTAGCTCTAGTGATGGCAGTAAGCAAGTGGACTCAATACCTAACAGGCAAATCTTTCACAGTCAAAACAGATCAGAAGGCACTCAAATTCCTGTTAGAACAGAAGCTGCACACTGGCTCCCAACTCAAATGGATAACTAAGCTTATGCAATATGATTTCATCATTGAATATAAGAAAGGGAAAGAGAACAAGGCAATAGATGCCTTATCCAGATTGCCCTTGATTGAGTTAGCAGCATTGACCCTGTCCACAGTTAAGACTGATTTACTGAGCCTCATTATGCAGAGTTGGGCTTAAGACAATGAGCTCACTGCCCTTATTGCCCAGCTTAAGTCTACTAATGCTGAGTTGAATGGGTACTCGTTTGTGCATGAACAACTCAGAAGAAATCGGAAACTAGTAGTGGGTCCTGATGATCAATTGAGAAAGGATATTATCCAGTTGTGGCACAATTCCATCCATGGAGGGCATTCAGGGATAGATCACACTTATAGGAGGCTAGCTGCCCTTTTCTACTGGAAGGCTATGAGAGAGGATGTCATGACACATGTTAAGCAGTGTGATACTTGCCAAAGAAGCAAGTATGAGACTACCTCTTATCCAGGGCTGCTTCAACCTCTGAAATTGCCCTCTCTAGCTTGGAGTAGCATCAACATGGACTTCATCGAGGGTCTACCCAAATCCCAGGGAAAGTCTGTAATTTGGGTAGTTGTTGACAGGCTAACAAAATATGCTCACTTCATTGGTGTCTCACATCCATACTCAGCTAGTGATATTGCCAGATTATTCATGGATCATGTGTTCAAGTTACATGGTATGCCAGAGGATATAGTGAGTGATATGGACCCTGTATTCACTAGTAAACTATGGCAAGAGCTATTCTCTATGCATGGTGTTACCCTCAGTACTTCTACAGCATACCACCCTCAGTCTGATAGTCAAACAGAGGTAGTCAACAGGTGTTTCGAGACTTACCTTAGATGCTTCTGCTCTGATTCTCAAAAGGACTGGTTCTCTTATTTAGCTGTTGCTGAGTGGTGGTACAACACCACATTTCACTCCTCGATCCAAACTACTCCCTATGAGGCTTTGTATGGCCAACCTCCCCCACTCCATTTACCCTATATAGCTGGAGACTCAGTAGTGGAAGAAGTAGACAGAAGCATGATCACTAGAGAGCTCAAGTTTCAGCTACTTAAATACCATCTCCAAAGGGCTCAACAAAGAATGACTATCCAAGCTAACAGACACAGGTCTGATCGATAGTTCAAAGAAGGTGACTGGGTTTACCTTAAAATCCAACCTTACAGATAAGTCACCATGTCCGGTTCCCATTTCTCTAAGCTATCAGCCAAATACTATGGTCCTTACCAGATTTTGAAAAAATTTGGAAATGTAGCCTATAAACTCTCCTTGCCTCCACAACTCCTCATCCACCCTACCTTCCATGTGTCTCAACTCAAAATTTGCCACAAGCTACCTGCATAGATCTCCCATCCTCCAGTTCTTGATATCTCCAGCCCCTACTGTCCTCAACCACAACAAATCCTAGACAGGAGATTGGTGCAAAAGGGGAATAAGGCTATCACTCAAGTTCTGGTCCAATGGGAATAAACTACACCTGAACAAGCCACTTGGGAGGACTATCATTCCCTGAGGACTAGGTTTCCCTCTTTTCTTCCTTGAGGACAAGGAAGATTTTGACACCGGGGATCTGATACGATATAGCTTGCGTCTGTGGTACATCGTGCTAATGGAGTAGTACATGGTAGTTAAGTTAGTTAACTGTAAAGGTTAAAGTTAAGTTTTAGAAATGTTAGTTTGGGACGGTTAAGTTTTAAATTAGAAGTTCTAGGAATTACACTTTGGTCATGTAATTTTTCTTGTCCTTTATACAAAAGGTCCACATAGCTAAATGAGGAAGGGACTTGAGTGTCAGATGAGAGCATCTCTCCCCACTCATCTATATATTGTAATTACCCTTCCTAGTATTGGGAATCAATGAGAATATTCCTTACTTTTACCCTAGTTTTCCTCTCTCTTTACTTTTCTGCTTTTCCTTTCATTGTTGCCGCAACTTTCTTTCTTCTTTTACTGTTACATTGATCTCTTTTGCTATCATAGCATACTCGATTTCAATTTCGGATTAAAACCAAACTCGAAATTCAGCGAAATGACACAGAAAGCTTCCTTGAATCAACAAGAACAAACTACAACACTTTCTTCTTTTTCGAACTGTTTAAATGCAAAATAAATCATTTGCTGTAGCAGTTGAGTTCATTCAACAACATTCGACTTCTTTTTGTTTTGGATTTTAGGACCTCAGATTTCAATTCGATTCGAAACAAAATTCTGTCTGACTCCTATTCTTGTCCATGTTCTCTGTTTGAGGAATGAAAAAAGGGAGCTGGTTCCATTTTTTGAAAGCAAAAGGTTAGAGGGTCACCGTTTTCCCTCTTTATTTTTTGGGAGCGATTTTGTTCTTTTGCTTGTTATTTGAGATAAGGAACGGAGAAAAAAATGGGGGGGGGGGGACTCCTCTGATCCGCCGTTTTTGTCTCTTCTCTCCAAGAGGAGCTCCTGACGTTTTTTAGGTCTGTTTTTTATCTCCCCCCTAGGTTAGGATTTTTAGTGGTTTTTATGAGAGGGGAGGGTTTATTCGGCCAGGCTTGGGGATTTGGGTCATTGTGAAGCTGGCCCAATTTGAAATTTAAGGAAAAACTAAACCCCTTTTTTGTTTATTGGACCTTTCAAAAATGGCCACATTAATTCTAATTAAATTTAATTTTGCAAAAAGATGTAGTTAATTAAACTAAATGATTAAAGCTAATGTATATTTTTGTGATTTTTGTTTGATAATGCAATTAACTCAATGTAATTGATTCCTAAATGCGAATTGAACCTAAGGTGGCATGAAATTAAAAAATGACAATTTTTTGTGATTTTTCTATGGTTTTAAAATATTAAAAATGCATGAAATGCAACTAAATAAAGAAAAAATCTTAAAAATTAATTAAAATTTTTTTGTCTATTTTTAGGAGTTATTTTCATGTAGGGAAAAAATTAGGTGCTGACATATATACATATATATA